GATTCTCTCCAACTTAATGATTGATTGTAGAGAATGAGGGAACTTTGGTCAAGAAACATGTAGGGTGAAATTCACCATAAAGGAGGCTTTTAAATTTGCTTTGTGAGGAAGTTGAAATAGCAGCTTTGTGGTCTCTACATAGTAAATGTCTGGAACATGTATTTATCTATCTACCTATCTATCTATTAATATCTATAGATTCACAGAGAAAGATGTTTTAAAAAGTATGATCATTTTTCATTTCCATTTTTTTAAAATTTATTTATTTATTTGTACAAGCACTGGGTACAGTCAGAAGCGCGGAAGGATGAGAGAATTCACCAGAGCCAGAGCGGGAGCAGAGCAGGCAGAATGACGAACTACACTGCTGAAGGGAGCAGGGGGCAGTCTGCGAGCTATGTGGGACCCTCACCCTGTGGCCGGGGATCGAACTGGCCCTGCAGAGGCTGTGGGCAGCTTCGCAACCCAGCGCTCCACCGGGGAGGCCCTCTTCATTTCCATTTTGCATGCACACACATACACAAAGCACATATACGTTTTGTTACTTCATCTTTCTGATCACTCCACAAGGATAGTCAAGACAATAATTGAACCTTCCCTACCTCTTTCCCAGTCACAGTTTTAGAGATGGATATGGTGACTTGTGTGACTCCAAGCAAGCAAGTGGGAAAGATACTTGGTTCCTAGTCGAGTGTCCTTTCTTCTTCCCCACAGGAGACCTCTCTGAGCATAGCTTTGTTTGGCAAGTTTGGGTGTTTGTGATATTACATGTATTTGCAATTATAGATCTATCTTGAAAATTTCCCTGTCCTCATAATGAATTGTTTAGCTTTGTATTGCTAGATTATTTTAATTTTCTTATTGATCAAAAAAAGTTACTTAATGGAACACCTCCCATTAAGTAATGGTTAATGGGTTAAGCATCAGCACTATGAAGCTATCCACAGCCACTGCAACACGAGTTTCATCCCTGGCCAGGGAGGTGAACCCCTGGCGCAGCAGACCTCTTCTGTCTCGCCCACCGCTACCCTCAGCAGTGTATTTCAGTACATCTGCCTATTCTGCTCCCCCCTCTGTCTCTGGTGAGTTCTCTCACCACCACCACCCCCACTGTGTCTGTGGTCTGTACCCCAGCTTTTGCATGCATAAAGAAATAAATCTTTAAAAAAAGTTATTTCATGGTGTCATAGGTAAATTGTCCAAATCAAAGAATGCAAATGTTGTTTCATATATTGCAAAGAGGAACCATTCTTTCAGGAGCAAAGGCATGAACTTTGAGTTCAGTTTGGAGATTTCTGACCTAGCAGCAGAGATTTTTTTTTTTCCCAACAGAATGAGTCTTTCTGGCAAAAATGACAACTGTCACCTATGAAGAGCCAAAGGGGAAATTTGCCCAGAAATACTGAGACCCTCAGTTTACAGATGAGGAGCCCATACTGGCAAATCAAAGAGAATTGCTCCAGTCAATAGCAGATATCAGAATTAAGTTTAGAATGCAGCTCTTGTTTAATCAGTCCAGGCATTGACTCCTTCAGTGCTTCTCTGAAATCAGTCAAATTTGTTTATAGGTAAGCCATTGTTTTGAAGCTACTGAAAAATAAAATTCTGTTAAGAGCTATAGAAGATGCTTGACATAAAGCTTCAACCATTCATCTGTAAATACTGTCAAACTGTCTGTGAGTCAATCTGCTCTACTGGAGTTTTATGAGCCCTTGAGGAACATAAGGAAACAAACTATGATGACACTGAAATATTCAAAATTTTACCAGAGGTTTCTTTTGCTGCAATCTGACTTTAGAGTCCCAGACATACAGACTCTACCTGAATATCTTACCTGTATCATAAACTCATCACCTTATCTGCTTTGTTTTACAACCTAAGTTCTCTGGTGCTCAGCCCTGGACCAGAAATCATTTGAGTTTTAATAGGCAATAATCTTAGCTTCAAGTAGATTTAAAATGTTTTGGTGGTTTTTCACACGCTAAATAAATTTAAGAATTTATTTTAAAAGTATACTTTGTTCAGATTGTATACAGGGAGTTTTAAAAGACATAAGAAGTTAAGAATTGACTGAAGAAATAAGGACAAATTGAAAAAAAATTATATTTGTCCAGTCTTTTTCCTTTATGATATTGAGACTGTTTACTAAAATAATAATTCATTGTTATCATAACAATAATGACCTTTTAACATTGAGGTATTTATCTTACAGAGAGATCATTATTATCAGTGTTTCCTTTTCAATCAAGAATTTAATATTTTAGTATTTTATCAGTGATCAGTGCAAAATATATTTAAGAAAATAATGATATGTTACCTTTATGTGATTAAAAGACCCAAAAAATTAAGATACTTACCCTTCCCCCCAATTCCTGTCACTCATTTCATCACTTCAATCAAGGTAGGCTAAATTACAACATTAAAAAAAAAGATTAGAGTTTATTAATTTCCTTAGGCTACTTAAAAATAAAAGTGGACCTCTATTATTCTTACCATGAAACAAATATTGAACTCTGCCCTTCGGCATGCTACCATACTTCAAATGCTGATCTTATCATCGCTTGCAAGTCAAACAGAGTTGGACTTTAAAAGGAAGAAAGGAAACCCGGAGCCATTGGGAAGCATCAGGGGTCAACCTGTTGGTCTGGTTCTGGTGGGAACTTACCCAGAGTCACAGTGCCCTGTAGGGGGGCGGGGGTGGGGTGGGGGGGGAACCTTGGAGGAGGGACACATTTTGCTTCCAGCAGCTATTTTTCAACAATACAAAAACTAGAATTTGAAAATTAATATATAAAGGGCCATATTCTGAAATTCATATTCTATTTCACTTGGAGTCTTCCTATTTGTTTGATTTGTGAACAGGAAACAGTAGGTTTCCTCATCACTGCAGTTTGAATTCTGTATGTAATAATAAAATAGTCATAATAAATGATAAAATAATAATGTCAAAGAAAACTGGAAGTTGAAGGCTCGGATGAGGGTTTTCTCATATGTTTAAATATTGGCTATCTTCCTTCCATGTTTCTAATGTTCATTTTGTACTAAATTATGAAATGTATTTATCAATTGTCAATTGAGAAATGCAGTAAAAAGTTTTGAAACACATGCAATTGCAGTAACATGGATGGAGCTGGAAGGGATCATGCTCAGCGAAATAAGCCAGAAAAATAAAGAAAAATACCGATGGTCTTACTCATAGCAGGAATCTAGAAAACCTAAATAAGGGACCAGGAAAAAGAATAACTATAAGAAAGAAAAAATCAAAACCAACAAATAACTATGAACCAGAGACACACTTTGGGGGGGGGCGGGGAAAGGAGGGCTTGGGGTCAAAATCAGGGGATTGCAATTGTATGGGGAATATAAAAATAAAAAAATAAATAAATAAAAAGTTCTGAAACGTGCAAAGCCTACAGAATCAACTCAATATACAATTAGCCAAATGTTTTTTGTTTGTATTAATTCCTTAAAATCTCTCTAATTCTCTCACTCAACCTCTCTGCCCACTCCACCCCCACCTCTCATCCCCCCTCCCTTGCTTCTTTTTGAAAGATTTCATAACTTTCCTAATTTCTTGACTCCCAGAAAACACTGCAAAATTTGCTTCGTGGAGCAGAATCTGGATCTCACAGTGTTACTTAAGTGCAATGGTTGTGCTGTGGTCTGGAAAGGAGCTGTGAATATTTTAGGTAGGGAGCAAAATCCTGGATTAGAGGAGACCAGACACCAAAGCGTTGAAGATAAATTCTTCTTACTGAAATGCACTCATGACGTTGCATCTTGTATCTTACAATATAGACTGAAATTTAAAAAGGACACACCAGTTTCTTAGCACCCCCCCTTCCTTTCCCAATCCAAAATATCTTTAAGCAGGGAAAGGGCAGGATGACCATTGTTCCAATTCTATATTTCAACTAATAATCTGATTTGTAATATCAGAGATAAACATTACTCCAAACAAAAATTTTTAATCAGGATAAGCACGGCTCTGCAAAAAGCTACTCTTGAAAGTGTTCGGGTTTTCATTGTGAGGGGTTGTTGTCCTCTAGGGGATGGGTTAAGAAGGTAGGTAGAAAATTTAGAAAAGGAATCTACACTTCTGAAACCCGACAAACACAAGGGGGCAGAAAGAGCTCAAACTGACTTCAAAACTGGCTGAAATGGGAGGTAACCGATTTTAGTTCGCCCTCCGGATATTTATCAATTCCTTTGCATGCAAAGAAATGTGATGCTGACAAGTGGGCTTAGTTTGTACTTGGTCTAATTACTGCGGAGAGAACAGGAACCTCCCTAAAGACAGCTACCCAACAGGGCGGCTTTGGGAGGGCCTGGGGCTACATTCTCTAGAATTTCTTCTTTGGTGCGAGCCTCGCGATTCCAATCAGACTGCATTTCTCACGCATTCCAAAAGCCCTTTTTTTCCTTTTGCTCTGAACTTTGGTTGCAAAGGAGGGACCTGTTAAAAACTCACCAATCCAAGGACGGTGCCCATTGTAGTTTACGAGGAGACTATAGCGGCAGGGGGTGGGGTTATGGGGGCGCCACCTGCTCCATCATTGACTTTTAATTCCGCTGTCTTTCTTTTGCAAATATGCCCCGCAATTTACGCCCAAATTGTTCTGGGTGTCGATTCAAACTTAGGCCCCTTTGCGTTTATCTTTCCTCAAGGGTTTGCAAATTTCGGTGAGAAATAGAGCCCCCCTTGCTCGGGATTCTCTGGAATTTGGGGGATGGGAACCAAATGGGTACTCCAAGGGCGCAGACTTCTGAAGAACGAATCTAGCCTCCCGCGTGATCTTCGCAGCTAGAATCTCAACCCTAGCCGGCCGGACCGAAACCGCGAGCAAGGGGTGGGGGGAGCTCCAGGCCGCTGTCCCCTCACTTCCAAGACAACCTGTTACCCCTTCTCTCTCCTCCCCTGCCCGCCGTTTCCCCGCCTCGGCCCCTAGTTGCTGATTGGCAGAAATCACTACCCAACCCGGGACTCCGGGCCTCCTCCCGGGGCCGACGATTGGCCTCCTGAGAGGACTGGAGTAAGGGGGTTCCAGGGGAGGGATTTCCCTCCACGCCTAGAGTTCGGGGACCCGACGAGAAGGAGAGGAGTCACTCAAGTCTCCGCAAGGCTGAGCCGCGAGTCGCAGAGCCGGGCGGGCCGGGCCGGCCGGGCGGGCTGAGCCTCCTTCGCGGCCGCTCCAGCCAGGACCGCGCCGAGCAGCTTTCCCATCCTTCTGGCCCAGCTTTGGCTACAGCGGGATCCCGTAGGCAGCGCGTGGAGTCCCCGGCACTTTCCGGAGGGGTCGCTAGCTCTCCCCCAGGGGACTGACCGTGCGCTCTCAGACTGACCTGCCTCAAACCTAACAGAACCATGTGCGCAGCCGGGACCCCCGGGGTCGCCTCCAGCGCGCGCCTGACAGCCTGTCCCACCAATTTTCAACCGATGCCTCCACCATCGCCCCGGCTGTTGCTAGCGCTGCTGCTTCTCCTGTCACTGGTAAGCCGCGTCCGGGCAGAGCCGGTTGCCCCGGGTCGGGCGTCGGCGTCTCCGGATTTTGCAGGGGTTTCTGGGGTCCCCGCCGAGGAGGCCATAGTGCTGGCGAATCGTGGGCTCCGGGTGCCCTTCGGCCGCGAGGTCTGGCTCGACCCGCTGCACGACTTGGTGCTGCAGGTGCAGCCGGGGGACCGCTGCACGGTGACTGTGCTAGACAACGACGCGCTGGCCCAGAGGCCGGGCCGCTTGAGTCCCAAGCGCTTCCCGTGCGACTTTGGCCCCGGAGAGGTGCGCTACTTACACCTAGGCGCGCGCAGCCCGTCGCGGGATAGCGTCCGGCTGCAACTGCGCTATGACGCGCCAGGAGGAGCGGCCGTGCTACCCCTGGTGCTGGAGGTGGAGGTGGTGTTCACCCAGCTAGAGGTTGTGACTCGGAACTTGCCCCTGGTCGTGGAACAGTTGTTGGGAACGAGCAATGCCCTGGACGCTCGGAGCTTGGAGTTCGCCTACCAGCCCGAGACGGAGGAGTGCCGCGTGGGTATCCTGTCGGGTTTGGGCGCGCTGCCTCGCTATGGGGAACTCCTCCACTACCCGCAGGTACCGGGTCAAGCCAGCGAGGGGGGCGCCCAAGAGCCTCTTCTAATGGACTGCAAAGCTTTCCAGGAGCTAGGCGTGCGCTACCGTCACACCGCTCCCAGTCGCTCACCGAACAGGGACTGGGTGCCCATGGTGGTGGAACTGCGCTCGCGAGGGGCTCTGCTGGGCAGTCCTGCTTTGAAACGCGAGCATTTCCAGGTGCTGGTGAGAATCCGAGGAGGGACCGAGAACACTGCACCCAAGCCCAGTTTTGTGGCAATGATGATGATGGAAGTGGACCAGTTTGTACTGACCGCCCTGACCCCAGACATGCTGGCTGCTGAGGATGCTGAGTCTCCTCCTGACCTGTTGATCTTCAACCTCACCGCTCCATTGCAGCCTGGCCAGGGCTACCTGGTGAGCACTGATGATCGCAGCCTGCCTCTCTCCTCCTTCACGCAAAGGGATCTGCGCCTCCTGAAGATTGCCTACCAGCCCCCCTCAGAGGACTCTGACCAGGAGCGTCTTTTTGAACTGGAGCTGGAGGTAGTGGACCCAGAAGGAGCAGCCTCAGACCCTTTTGCTTTCATGGTAGTGGTGAAGCCCATGAACACGCTGGCTCCCGTAGTTACCCGGAACACTGGTCTCATTCTCTATGAGGGTCAGTCTCGGCCCCTCACAGGTCCTGCAGGTAGTGGACCACAAAACTTGGTCATCAGTGATGAGGATGACCTAGAGGCAGTGCGGCTGGAGGTGGTGGCTGGACTCCGCCATGGTCACCTGGCCCTTCTGGGTGCCTCCCATGGCAGCTCAGCCCCTAAGACCTTCACAGTGGCTGAGCTGGCAGCAGGCCAGGTGGTCTACCATCACGATGACAAAGATGGCTCATTGAGTGACAACCTGGTGCTTCGAATGGTTGACGGAGGAGGCAGGCACCATGTGCAGTTCCTGTTCCCTATCACCTTAGTACCTGTGGATGACCAGCCACCAGTGCTCAATGCCAACACAGGACTGACACTGGCAGAGGGTGAAACAGTGCCCATCCTGCCCCTCACTCTAAGTGCAACTGACATGGACTCAGATGACTCTCTGCTGCTTTTTGTCTTAGAATCACCCTTCTCAACCACGGGGCATTTGCTTCTCCGTCAAACTCATCCTCCCCATGAGGAAGAGGAGTTTCTCGGGGGTTCTTGGAGGAAACAAGGAGATTTCTATGAGCAAACTGTGACAGAGTGGCTGCAGCGGGACATCATGGAGGGGAGGCTCTTCTACAGGCACACTGGGCCCCATAGTCCTAGGCCATTGATGGACCAGTTCACATTTCGGGTCCAAGATAATCATGACCCCCCTAATCAGTCTGGACTACAGAAGTTTGTGATACGCATTCATCCTGTGGATCGCCTTCCTCCAGAACTGGGCAGCGGCTGTCCCCTTCGAATGGTGGTGCAGGAATCCCAGCTCACACCTCTGAGGAAGAAGTGGCTGCGCTACACTGACCTGGACACAGATGACCGAGAACTGCGTTACACAGTGACTCAGCCCCCTGTGGATACAGATGAAAACCACTCACCAGCCCCCCTGGGCACCTTGGTGCTAACAGACAACCCCTCAGTGGTGGTGGCCCATTTTACCCAGGCCCAGGTTAACCACCATAAAATTGCTTATAGGCCTCCAGATCAAGAGCTGGGAGTGGCTGCCCGAGTGGCCCAATTCCAGTTCCAGGTTGAAGACCGAGCTGGGAATGTGGCACCAGGCACCTTCACCTTGTACTTACAGCCAGTGGACAATCAGCCACCTGAGATTCTCAACACTGGTTTTACTATTCAGGAGAAAGGCCACCACATCCTGAGTGAAACAGAGTTGCATGTGAAGGATGTAGACACTGATGTAGCCCATATTTCTTTCACTCTCACACAGGCACCCAGACATGGCCACATAAGGGTGTCTGGACAGATATTGCATGTAGGAGGGACCTTCTATTTGGAGGACATAAAGCAGGGTCGGATTTCCTATGCTCATAATGGGGATGAGTCCCTGACTGATAGCTGCTTGTTGGAGGTCAGTGACAGGCATCACGTAGTGCCCATCACTCTCAGAGTGAATGTCCGGCCAGTGGATGATGAGTTGCCCATGTTGAGCCTTCCTGCAGGTACCCTGGGATCATATTTAGATGTGTTAGAAAATGGGGCTACTGAAATCACTGCCAGTGTTATTAAGGGAACCGATGAGGACACTGATGATTTGATGTTGACTTTCCTCTTGGAAGATCCACCCTCATATGGAGAAATCCTGGTCAAGGGAGTCCCAGCAGAGCAGTTTACCCAAAGGGACATCTTGGAGGGCTCTGTCGTCTATGCTCACACCAGTGGTGAGATCGGTCTGTCGCCCAAGCAGGACTCTTTTAACTTGAGTCTGTCCGATATGTCTCAAGAATGGAGAATAGGTGGCAATACTATCCAAGGAGTTACAGTATGGGTGACCATCCTCCCTGTCGATAACCAGAGCCCAGAAATTTCTGTTGGTGAAAGGTTTGTAGTAACGGAAGGTGATAAAAGTGTTATAACTTCAATGCATGTAAGTGCCGAAGATATTGATTCCCTAAATGATGACATTTTGTGCACTATAGTTATTCAGCCTACTTCAGGTTATGTTGAAAACATTTCTCCAGCACCAGGCTCTGAAAAATCAAGAGCAGGAATTGCCATAAGTGCCTTTACTCTGAAAGATCTGAGACAGGGTCATATTAATTATGTCCAAAGTGTTCATAAAGGGGTGGAACCTGTGGAAGATCGATTTGTATTTCGTTGTTCTGATGGCATTAACTTTTCAGAGAGGCAATTTTTTCCCATTATAATCATTCCCACCAATGATGAACAGCCAGAAATATTTATGAGAGAATTTATGGTGATGGAAGGTATGAGTCTGGTGATCGATACACCCATCCTCAATGCTGCAGATGCCGACATTCCCCCAGATGATTTAACTTTCACTATTACCCAATTTCCTACTCATGGTCACATCATGAACCAGCTGATAAATGGCACAGTTTTGGTGGAGAGCTTTACCCTGGACCAGATCATAGAGAGTTCCAGCATTATTTATGAGCATGATGACTCTGAGACCCAGGAAGACAGTTTTGTGATTAAGTTAACAGATGGTAACCATTCTGTAGAGAAGACAGTCCTCATTATGGTCATCCCGGTTGATGATGAGAGCCCCAGAATGGCCATCAATAATGGACTAGAAATAGAAATTGGGGAAACCAAAGTGATCAACAACAAAATATTAATGGCAACTGATTTAGACTCTGAAGACAAATTCTTAGTCTATATTATTCGTTTTGGGCCAGGACATGGCTCATTACAGAGGCGGAGCCCTACAGGTACCTTTGAAAATATCACACTGGGCATGAATTTTACCCAGGATGAAGTGGACAGAAATTTAATCCAGTATGTCCATTTTGGGCAAGAGGGAATTCGGGATCTAGTTAAATTTGATGTCACTGATGGGATAAATGCTCTCATTGACCGCTACTTCTATGTGTCTATTGGGGGCATTGACATCGTCTTCCCTGATGTGATAAGTAAGGGAGTATCCTTGAGAGAAGGCGGTCAAGTCACCCTCACAACAGACCTGCTAAGTACTAGTGACTTGAACAGTCCTGATGAAAACTTAGTCTTTACCATCACCAGAGTTCCCACGAGAGGCCACTTAGAGTGCACTGATCAACCTGGTGTGTCCATCACATCTTTCACTCAGCTCCAGCTGGCTGGCAACAAAATCTACTATATCCACACAGCTGACGATGAGGTGAAGATGGACAGTTTTGAGTTTCAGGTGACCGATGGACGTAACCCTGTCTTCCGAACTTTCCGTATCTCCATTAGTGATGTGGACAACAAGAAGCCAGTGGTGACCATCCACAAGCTGGTTGTCAGCGAAGGTGAAAACAAGCTAATCACGCCTTTCGAACTCACAGTGGAAGACAGAGATACTCCTGACAAACTCCTGAAGTTCATTATCACCCAGGTGCCTGTTCATGGTCAACTCCTGTTCAACAACACTAGACCTGCCATGGTTTTTACCAAGCAAGACTTGAATGAGAACTTAATCAGCTACAGACATGATGGCACTGAGTCAAGTGAAGACAGCTTCTCCTTCACAGTGACTGACGGGTCCCATACTGAGTTCTATGTTTTTCCTGATACGGTATTTGAAACAAGGAGGCCCCAAGTGATGACGATTCAGGTATTAGCTGTTGACAATAATGTCCCCCAAATTGCTGTGAACAAAGGGGCCTCTACCCTTCGCACTCTGGCCACTGGTCACTTGGGCTTCATGATCACCAGCAAAATCTTGAAAGTGGAGGACAGAGACAGCTTACATTTTTCTCTCAGGTTCATTGTAACCCAGGCTCCTCGGCATGGCTATCTCCTCAACTTGGGCAAAGGCAATCACAGTGTCTCTCAGTTCACACAAGGTATGCTCACTTTTCCTTCCTTTCCACCAAAGGACCTTCTGGGTCTTATTTTCTGAGAATAGTACTGTCTGAAAACTTCGTAAGTAGAACATCAAATTAGGGTCCAAGAGAAAGGAAATAAAGCAATGGTAGAATGCAGGGACTCCCTTTCCTGGGAGAACAGCTCCTTTCTTGCAGTGACCTTTATTAGAGGGAGGTTGGGTGCATGTTAATAGTGGCAAGATAAAAGCAGACTTTGGGTTAGTAACAATGAAGTAGGCTGTTTGCACGAATGTCTAGCAGCCAGTGTGTTTACTGTAGAAGGGTGGTGAAGCACCTCAGCCCCTTGAAGAAAGCTGTGCTTTCCAAATTCTATGGCTTTATTATTTTCACCAACCTCTCAAATAGAGCTTTAGAATTTATATTACTTTGATTAATTTTTGAAAGTATTGTAATACTATTACAGTTGTTAGGAGGTTTGTGACAAAAAAAGATTTATCTATATTTACTCTGTAGATTTTTCTTGATAATTACTTAATAATACTGACTCAGGCAAACACCTGTCCAAAGACATAGAAGCTTAACACCTACCTAGGGTTATAACAACGACATGTACAAGGTGTGTTTCTATGATACACACATAAAGGAGAGATTATACTTAATGGTGTATAAGAACATAATTTGTTCATCACCAAAATAGACATCCACATCATTATTAAGACCCTGAAGATATGTTAACAAGATTGAGAGTAGAAGGAGGAAATGAATTCCTCATTTCAAACCTTCTCTCTACCTTGTTAAGTACACCAGCTGCCACTTCTGCTACATTCTTGAAGCTAAAGTGATTTTCGCACCTGAATTTTCTTTGTGTGTGGACACAGTCTGAGACCGGAAAGGCAAGTGACCTATGCTGAATTACTCAGTGACTGACGGAAGAAACCCATTTAGTCTGCTGGCTTTGCTGCCAAGGCTGTGTTCTCTAGACGTGTGACTTTCACTATAAAGGGTTTTGGGTTGCTTTCATGAAAATCTCACCTTGTCAGAAGGGAAGGGAGTTCTAGCCTATGTGGCTGTGTGGGTGGAGATGGAGTTTAACTCCATGGCACTCCAATGGGGGTGTGCTTTTCCTGCAGCAGTGTCATGTTCTTCGATAACAAGCACATTAATAAACATGGATGTGGCAAAGCATAGTGTTAAAGTGAACTGCTTCTCTGTTTTAGATGCTGGCAAATAGCCCCACACTCCAACCTCCTGATTCTTGGCTGAAAGCCTGAATGTATCCTAGGGCCTGCAGGGACAAGAAAACCTCAGAGTGCCAAGTGTCACGCCAGAAACTGCAGGAAACTTTTGTGTGAATACTTTCTGGGGCTAGAGATGGCATACAATCTTAGATTGTTTTATTTTCATGGAAAGCGAAGAGGATGGAAGGAATGTATTAGAGAAGAGAAAATGTTACTTTAAATAACTCCACTGACCTGAAGGAATCTGATTTTAGAGGTTTTTAAAAAGGGAATTTTGGGGGTGAAGATAGGCAAATGGTTTCATTTAAATTCAGTAGAGAAACAACTCAAATTCTATGTTAAAGAGCTCAAAATACTGGAATATTATTTCTTAAATATCGACCCCTAAAATGATGTTATTTGTCTCTCTGTCTCTCCCTGACAGTAACTCACCATAGTTGCTTTTTATGGTCATTGTAAGTATAGAGTAGGCATAGGTTTCTTATAAAAAGTGAAGATATAATTTTAAGATTATCTTTCCAAGAGAAATTATACATTCCAATAAGAACCCAAATATTGACTAGGAAAACTGTTGGTATTTAGTCACACAGCACTCATTTGAACAAGTTGAGGCTGGAGTTCAGTTCATAGCAGTTATTTGTGGAGATTAGATAAGTGAGCAAAAATGGAAAACGCCACCTTAGCACAGCCATGGCTGCTTCCCCAGTGGGAAATGAAAGCCTTGTCAAGAGTGATGACTATGCTCTTACTTGCTTTGTTTTCGATTTGTCATGAAAGCATAAACTGTATTTTGATGGCCTTTCAATGCACTGAGTTAAGTCAAGTTAACGCATGTGCCAGAGAGGGTTATTCACAAATGGATTGACTAAATGTTCCCTAAGAGGAAAAAAAAATAATTATTCGCTAAATAAATTGAATGTTGTTATTAGGAAAAATTAACAAGGTGGAATTAGATAAGTTAAAGATATTATTTGGTTATTTCAAAGCTTTCCTCTTTGTTAAGATGTTCCTGCTCTTTCCACCCAGGTCTAAATCACTTGTCTCAAGTCCCTCTACAACAAGTACATGGTGATTTCTTTCAGAAATTTCCCCAGTTGGAACCAGGATCTGGGGACTAATATTAGAAAAAAAAAATTTTAGAAAACCCATGGAATAATTGTGTAAATAAATTGAATTAGATTTGAAGTGTGTTTTGCAATTAGAAGAAAGTCTAACTGATTTTGGGGTGTTTAAAAAAGATAACATTTTGGTTATGAGGTTTTTAACCTAATACTTTTGTGCCTTAAAAAGTGTTTTTATTTATTTATATTTGTAAATTTATTTTTTTAATTGAGCTATCATGAGTATTCCTCCCCTCATGATACCAACAATATAGTACATCCACGACCAATCACCCACAGCCCACCACCATGGTCCATTGTGCTTCCTTCCCTCTTTGTTCTTATCCCCCCCTTCTCTCTCCCCTTGGATGCTTCACTTCTATAGTCAGCTTTTAGGGTTAGTTTTGAAGCTTGTCTTCATCTGACCCTTAATGCGATCTCTATATTCTGCATGTTAGTGACACCATCACCAGATACCAATCTATCTTTATAAATATGTTTCCCTTATTTTTAGAGGCACCTGTACAGCAATAGTTTCATGATCAAAGTCTTTACTTCTTTGAGATTTTATTTAAAAGCCTGTTCTTTTTATGAATCATGAATTATATCAACAGAGTTGTAAAGAAAATGAAAAGGCTTTTTACTCTGTTGCAACCAATCAATTTTGTTTGCCCTTACATGGAGGAAAAATGAGCATCATAGAATTATATCCATGTTCTCTTTACTTAAAAAAGAAGTTCTTAAAAATCAATTTTATTTTAACTAATTGTCTCCCACATATGATAGTTTCTGCTTATGCAGATGCTGCAATAGAGATTGGGTATACTGAACACTTTTTTCTTTTCTCATAATAAAGACTTTTGTTTTACAAAATTAAAGACAATGGAACCATTGAAAGCCCCCCCACCATCAGCTAGAGCAGGGTTCTGACGCTGAGTGTCTTAGAGCTAAGAGCTAGTTCATGTCATGCCTCAGTTGTCAGCTCGAGGTTGTGAAAGTTAGCAGTTGAAGGGAAAGCAGGTAGGAGCTGTGCAGGGGCTTCATGTCTCCCCCTGCAAACACATCACATGTGCACAAGTAGGGGCGCAAGTGTGGTTACCCCAGACCTCTGGGCGCTTTCCTTTTGAATTAAGAAGTAGTTGAGCCTTTACTGACCTTGAGAAAAGGACTGTGGGAATTGAAGATAAAAAATAAAATCCCATAAGCTTTCAATCTTCTAGGAAAGGTAGTCATGCAGGAACATAAAAATGACATTTGGCAGAAGTTGGTGACATTATACTGAAGTTAGAAATGAAATGCTCCAGGAGAAAAAAACATACTGAATTTACTTCCCCTCCAAGGACTGCTGTTAACCAGATGGTAACATTAAATATTAAGTCAGATTTTTCCCTCTTCAGATGTCTGACGGTAAGCAAGTCACCTTTCAAAACTGTAAGCCACAGTTGAGTGTGTGTGGCACATATGTAAAGTGGAGCTATAGAAATCTATGGAGTAACTTGTTGATTCTAATCTGCATCATAAACTTATTCTTACATAAAATGCCTTTGAAAGCCCCAAAGCATGAACATAGTAGATCCCCTAGGAGATGAGAAAAACCACACAACACATGTTAGAAAAATAAATATGACACACCATCATTGAAGCTATTTTTAGCTATGATCTTGATTTGAGGTTGCCTTGGAAATAACTATTTGGTGATTGGTTTGGATCAAATAACGGTCTATGGTGAATATCTTAAGAACAGAATATTTTGTTGCATTATGTTATCTGTGTGGCTTGATTAAGGAGAGAAATTGGTCAAATGGATAATAAAGTTTAAAAATTGTGTGCATGAAACAAGCTGGTAGTTATCTAAGTTGACAGAATAGAAAGCAGCAGAAAGCATTTCTGAGGCAGAATAACTTTTCACTCTGAATAAAGCTTGGCGTAGTGACTAGATATTTTCTGTTGTAAGTTCTCTCTGACATTGGATCATGTTGTCAATCTGTGGGATTTAAAAATATCTCCTTGACTGTTTCTTTCAAAATTTGGAGAGCTTAAAAAAGGCTTACTCTGCCACAAGAGGTAAGAAAAATTAGCTTGAGGGAGGGCAAGGGAACCTCTTTCCTTTAGGGGCAGTCCTCCAAGGCAGTAAAGGGTGTGGTTTCAATAGGAAATTTGCCATGCCTCAAAATATCTCCCTTTCCACCTGTCATGGAGTCTGACATTCCATATTTAGATAATCACTCCTTTGGTGCATGAACATGCAGATACTATTGGGAGGGGCAATACCTTGCTATTATTATAATCTAGTTTTTGTTTTTTTTTTTTATCTGTATGAGGGATCAGATTTCCATGGGACAGCTGAAATCCAGGGGCTTAGAGATATGAGAAGCGAGGGCTGTTTCCCTTAGGAGAAACAAAGCTAAATATGGCCACAGGAAAGTAATAGCCAAGAGGACCTACCGTGAGTAAGAATCACTGCTTTTGCCCTAGTAATTAATCACCTCCCTTTTTGGTTATTCTTCTAGCTGACATTGACGACATGAAAATATGCTATGTTTTAAGAGAAGGGGCCAATGCCACAAGTGATGTATTCCATTTTACAGTTGAAGATGGTGGTAAGTATTCCACTCTCCTGTTAGTATAAAAGAAGAGAACAACTTGTATTAGTTGCGCTTTGACAACTTTATTACAAGGCATCCATGTCAATTATCACTTCCTGCTCACCTGAATCTATAAAGTTGATATTTGCTGTAGAATATCTATTCTCAATCCTACTTAGTCCTACTTGTAATTATAATGCAATGTTAAGTGTTCTAGTTTTGTATTATTTTAACTTATGATTTGTAAAGCACTCAAGAGAAAGATCTATATAAATAAAACCCCATGTCCAGTTGTTCAGTTTATGCTCTGCATGAAATGAGATGCAGGAAGGATGCTGGAATCCAGCCCATCTCCACTTGCAAGCCTTGTGCCTATCGGGTGTGCCCAGGAGGGTGTGTCTGCCATGTGCATGTTAGCACATGGTGCTTTTTTTCTGATTTGTACATGGAGGCTGCGTGGACTATTTTCGATGTGTAGCATGTTGTAGTTACAAGAAATCAGTGCTATTTAAATGTATGCTTTATTTCACCAGTATCAGTATGTGTAATGATTTTCTTAGTGTTGGGGATTCTGTGAGGTAGTCTAGCTAAAGTTGTGCCTGCTGAAGCCCAAGATTGCTGTGGAAATAAGGTATGATTTGCAATCTAAGTGTCTTCAGCAATTTATTGTCATGGCTCCTTCAAAGTCCTGACTATCTCTCACTTTCTTTACTGCTCCCGACGGCATCTCTTCCTAACCCTGTAAATGAAGAAAATAACTGGCTATTTCTAGTTAATCATAAAAATGTTTTTGTACTCTTGTGCTCTCAGGAGAAGCAAATAAATGTAAGGAAGTACATGTGTTTTGTGAACAGGACAAAATCACTGGGGAGATGTGTGAGAGAGAAAAGGAAGGGAGAAAAGAAATGATTCAGATTCAGTCATCTGTTTCCTTCTGATACTTTTTCAAAACGGCAACTATTATGTCATCTGTCTCAAAAAGATAACATGCTTATCCTTCGTATTTTTTGAAACATTAAATAGCATTTGTTTAAAATATCATTGAACATTTGTTTAAAATATCACAGCTCTGAAAAGTGACAGCTGGGAGTTGTGTGCCAGAGAAGTAAAAAAAAAAAAAAGTATATTAATTTGGGTTCATAGATTTAATAAATTTAATATCTATTTTTATAGTGACCAAATCATAGTTTAGTATTCTATATAATGATTAAAGGAATCAACTTCTAAGTAGGACGTTAACTTATAAAAAAGTAATCTGCTCATTGAATCTTGCTACTCAAATGGGAAATTCTACTACAGGGAAACTTTAGAGTGAGATACTATATCAAAACCATGTAGTATGTCAAAACTGAAGAAACAAATTATTAATTCAAGACACCATGTTTATCTCTTACTATTATTGAATAAACTTCAATAGCAAAAATGTGACTTTCTTCAAAATTACCAAAATGTTTGAAATCCAAGGGCTGTAATTCGAAGACGACATATCCTGTCCTCTTTCAATATTTTTTCCTTCATTAAATGCAATGATGAATATATATGTGCGTGTATATATTCTATTATCCTGCACATTCCTTTTTTAGCTGGATGGAATGGTAGCATTACTTTAAACTTTTGGTAAGTATTCAAACTTTGGAAAAAATTATACAGTATCATATTGCCAATCTTAAATGAGGAATGATTAGCTGAACAGCCTGGGCTTATTTTTGGATTTGTTGAAAATATAGCTGAGCCATTAAAGATTGTGTTTATGGAAATAGGAACTTAATCATTTCAGGAGCTTTTTCAGAGCTGTAGTTTAATATGAAAGACAAAACTCCCAGATGTTGCTCCTTAGCCTCCTCTTCCCATTGTCACGGCATCACATGTGGGGCCTGGGCGGATCTGGCACACTGTGCAACATCATTGATCTTAATTTCCCTACTGTAAGGAAACTTTCCTTACAGATAAACACTGCGACCTGCAAGATTAAAAATTAAAGTCACATATTTACTCAGGTTTTTGGTTTTTGTTTGTTAAATATATTTTGTATTGAGTTAATATTGGTTTACAGAGTTATTCGCATTTTAGAAGTGTAAGATTCCCCTCTTCGGGTGTTGTTATCACAAAGTACTTGCCACCCAAGAACCCGTAGTCCACCAACAACCCTTGTGCAGCCCTCTGTTCTTGTCCCTCCTCCTTTATCTGACCCTTTGTTTTGTTCCTCTATATTCCACATGTAAGTGACGACATCTAGTACTTGTCTTTCTTCTTCTGACTAATTTTGCTTAGCATAATCCCTTACAGCTCCATCCTTGTTCCTGCAAATGCCAAGAATTTATCTTTTTTGATAGCTGAGTAGTATTGCATTCTGTGTCTGCATGCACACATACTCATGCACAAACACCCTCTACATCTTCTTAAGCCATTTGATAGCTGAGTAGTATTGCATTCTGTGTCTGCATGCACACATACTCATGCACAAACACCCTCTACATCTTCTTAAGCCATTTGTGTGTTTTTAGACAGTTAGTCTGTTACCATATCCTGACTGTTGAAAATAGTGCTGCAGTGAACATGGGAATGCAGGTTTCCTTTCAAATTAGTGTTTTTTTATTCTTCTAGTAGATAGCTTGGAGTGAAATTGCTAGATCATGTCTCAGATCCATTTGTAAACTTTTGAGAATGCTCCATATCGCTTTCCAAGTTGTTTTAATCTGATACTTTTTTTTTGTATTTTGCACTCACTTTCTTTTAGGACAGTGATTACCTAAAGAAATTACTGGGGCAAGGATAATACTCAAATAACCTTTGAACTCTAACTTTTAATTTCGGGAGTCAAGAAGTAGGAGACGAGATTGAGGAAAACAAAAAGTTAAAATCTCTTATTGCAGATTTAATTGTATTATCATAAAAATGTAGCAAGCCATGGAATTCTTCTGTTATAGTAATGGGTTAGGATCTACAACTAGTGAGATAGTGCTTAGGAGAGAGTTAATTTTGGCTTTCGGGACACCTTGGGGCTATTACCAAATGACAAAGTAAAGATTACACTATTTGAAATATAAATGTCAGGATTTTCACTTCAAGAAGTTCTACTGTGTTTGAACTTAATAAACATTGGTTGATAGAGCACATATACACACACACACACACACACACACACGGTTCTTTTAATTGGATCTTAAATCTTTTATATGATTTATTATTATTTATACAACTTCTTCATACCATTTCTTTGATGCTCTTTTGGTTTTAAAAAAATTATTATTCCTATTTGGCAGATGGGGAAATTGGTCTTGACTAAATAACCAGACAACTGGAGACTTACTTGAATCCTAGATTTTTTTCCCCCTAAGTAATAACATCCACATTTATTCAGGATGAGCATGAGAGGGAACAACTCAAATGATTCTGGGTTCTCCAGGACAAGTTTTTAGAAAAGTTTAATACATAAGAATGATGTCAGAGTAAGATCTTCTGGTAGACAAAAAGGTGTGTGTATTCTAGAGTGTAAATTTTTATTTTATAATCATTAAAGGCCACTTGTGCCTTAAAATTTATAATATTTGCTTCAGGTTTAGTAATGTTATTCTTATTTTTAAACCTATGCAAAAATAGTTCTTCTTTCTAAAGTTCATAAGTAACAAATCAAATCAACCTCGAGAGGTCATTTTATATGTATTTCATCAGTTAAACTGCAAAGACACTTAAAAAATTAAGATGGGGGGCCTTCCTCGTGGCACAAGGGGTTGTGTCAGCACTATGAAGAACTCCACAGCTACTGCAACATGAGTTCAATCCACAGACCTCTCCTGTCTCACCCACTGCTCCCCTCAAAAAAAAAAGAATATGGAAATGATATCAAAGAGGCCATCCATCCAGATATGGTAGGGCCAATGGACATGTGAATTCATAATTAGAACTTATAAGGTCAAACTCTAAAGTTTGGAAATGTGCCTCCATTATCTGTGCCTTCACCTAAGAATTTCCTCTATGTATGTAGCCATCACCTATGGATTTAGCTGAACTGTCTTCTATTCCATTTTGTTGTCATTCTTTATGTCTTCATGAGGGTAACTCAATATAATAATACAGATCTGGAAAATATATCTTTCTTTGATCATTGCTTCTTGGAATTCTAATTCTAGATCTAATATTCTGGAATTTTCATGTGAGGAAAAATCACGTATTCCCTTTCCCTTTCAAAACTGAACATATTTTAACTGATTTCTCCTTTGCATATAACTGTAATTTTTCTATAAAGTATTCTAATATGAATTGTGCCTACCCTTTTCAGTTTTCTCCCCAAGGAACTTCTTTAGCTCTGTATTGTGATGTGAAAGCCTATCTCACATAACTATTCCAGGTATGTCCCACCCTCAGCCCTAATGACTGTTAATCACTCTTCAACACCCAGCTCAAATGTCATTTCCTCTCCAAAGTGGCTTCCAACAAGATGATGACAAAGTCAGTCGCACCCTTCTTTGTGCTTCTCTTCCTACCTTTATTTACAGCAAGAATGTTGTTTTCTGATTATTTGCTGATCCTGTTACCATGGTAACAGGGAGAGTAGTTAGAAAATTTATGTTAGACTAAAGTATCCTCTGTCCTCACTAAAAAGTCATTGTGTAAATTGTTGTTAGCTTTTGCTTGTTTGTAATCCAAAGCCTTTGCCTCATACCCAAGATATTTCTGGATAGGTGTAAGATTTTGGTTTTATGATCATCTCGATTACTAGAAAAGGAATAGAGATGTCATTAATCTCTGCACCACAGTGCTAACTCGGGGTTGAACAGATGGTAAATATTTAACAAACATTAAAATAAATGAAGAGATAAATGGGAAAAAGAACCTCTTTTTATATAAGGATCAATTAAATAGTATTCTAAGAAAAGCGCCTATTAGCAATTGCCAGTGGACCCTTTGCATTCTTTTAGAACTTTCTTATATCCTAGAATTAATTTAAATCCCTGTGGCACCAAGAAAGATTTTAGTAAAGCTTTCACATTTTTAGACACATGAAATCAACTGCT